TTGGGGTAGCTGGTACTTGGAGGTTCATGGGTAGTTATAAGTATGGTTATAAGTCCCCTAATATGGGTTATAATTATAGTTACCCTACTTATAACCCCATTTATAACTACCCATGAACCTCCAAGTACGGTACTGCATCGTCGCTGATCTCAGGACGCATCGACTCACTGCATGTTGTGTTGACGAGCTTTGCTTGCGGCTCAAGTCCTCCGAAGCGGCAAAGCAGCCTGCAAAGCAGTCGAAGATGCCGGAGCACGAGGAGGGGTCTGCCTCACAGCATCATCTTGTTGCTGTCTGAAGACTTGCTTGCGGGAGGCAAGGCAGGCAAGGCAGGCCAGGCAAGGGCACATGCGTTGTTGTGCACATTCGATAACGGGACCAGTATTGAGTCCGTATTGTGCCCGTGCCGCAGGGAGCGAAACTACTGCCTAGTGATGCTGCGCTTCAGGCCTGCTTGCTGATAGATTTCAGCCGCAAAAACTTGTTTAGTTTGTGATTAGAGTGAACTTTTCTGTGAGCCGCATTGATACAGGAAGAGCTCGAGGCCAGAAGGAAGAGGCTTCTCGAGGGGATCCCGACCTTGTCTGAAAACCGTTCTGTGAGCGGTGCCTGGTCAGCAGTACAGCAAGGCATCCTCTGATCATGCGGCTGATGATATACATCCTGCATTACCCATAAGGAGGAATATACCATAATTACAACAGTTTAGGGTCCTTAGGGTCTTGTAATGCAGGATTTATATCATCAGCTCTGCAATGCATGGTTTTCATCCGGCTCGTTGGTTTAACACCTGCGAGGATGCCAGCGATTTTGCCTGGCCATTCTCCGCGCCATTATCTTTGTTGCAGCAACGGTTGGTTTGCTTTGGCTGCAGATCTGGTTGAGCGAAACGAGACTTTGGCGGGATGGTTGATGTTTGCCCCTCATTGGTTGGCATGCGACCGATGGCGGCAGCTGTCAGATGCACCCAAGGAACGTTGAGACATTCCGTGAAAGCCCGATCCACAAAAAAGCCATCCTTGGTGCGAACGGAACGATTAAAGACACATCGGGAGAGACTTGGCAAAAGCAGCTTATGAACTGAAGGACCCTAAACCCTAAACCCTAAACCCTAAACCCTAAACCCTAAACCCCTAAACCCCTAAACCCTAAACCCTAAACCCTAAATCCACGGGCTTCGGCTCATGGCTGGCTTTTGCTTCTTTTCATTCGTCCTTTCCTAGTAACCAAGGACGAAGCTTGCCCTGTGTATGTGGAACTGCAGGCCAGGGCCAGGGAGGGGATAACGGCAACACTTTGAAGTGCTACGGTGACTCTTCTTATTTTATCATTCCGGCTAGTTGTTCGGAGGGGCATTTCAAACACAGGTAGTGTAATTCGTTGAGCCAGATCCATCAGCAGGAGGTCATCTGGCTTGACAAGTCAGCTGTGTCGTTTTCGCTTGTGACATGAACTGCCCATCCCCAGAGCCCTGCCATGCAGTTCCATGTAGCTCTGCCTGCGATCACTGCAACAGCTGCACCCCTACCTGGCTCGATGCTGTGTTCCGTGGAGGACCCATGGGCATATCATCTGGCCCAGTTAGGTTCCTTGCAAGACGCTTTGCCTGCAAGTGGTGCAAGTTGATGCCGACCCTGCTCCGCACCTGTCTGCGTCAGCTCAATTGTCCGGGTCTCGTTTTCCAGCAGGGTCTGACTAGCAATGAGGTACTTTCATCAAAGCTGTAACCTTGCCCCGAAAAATCACCGCACATGGCAGCAGAATTCTGTGGCTAGCTGGGCATCACAGCTGAGATCAACATCGTGCCTCATGGCCACTTCACAGACGACCTGCCAACAATTCAATGGTATGCCAGTGAGGAGGTTTACAGGACGGCCGGAAACGCATCTGATCTGCACGTAGGTCCTGCAGGCTGTTTAGCCGAATCCGTCGGGAAATGCTCTTGTTGAAAGCAGCGACCCAGATGAAATGACGCAAGTGTCGTAGAATCCTGTGGCAGGAACAGAGACGTGTACCTGCTCTTCAGCATGGGAGCACGCGGTTTGAATCCCGCAGTTGTCAGCATAGGGCTCGAAGAGGCTGCTTGGGGTGTCCATGCACAGGGTTCACCCTTGCACTTTGGTGGATTTACAATGTGTACGGGTAGAGGCTTCAGCCTTTTTTCTTGGCAACTCTGACATTCAGTAGTAATAGTAATAATAGTAATAACAGTAATAATAGTAATAACAGTAATAATAGTAATAATAATAATAACAGTAATAATAGTAATAATAGTAATAATAGTAATAATAGTAATAGTCAATCTGCTCAGTGCAGTTGCCAGGCTATGTCAACCGAGCGTTACATGACAGCGCTAAAAGAAGCCTTCTCCCGCAACCTCTTGAACCCCTTGGCCGGGGGCTTGGCGGGGCTTGGCACATTCGCCGAGTCGTAGATTTGTGCCGACGTATTCCTACTTGGAGGTTCATGGCTAGATATAAGTATGGTTATAAGTCCCCTAATATGGGTTATAATTATAGTTACCCTACTTATAAACTTATAACCCCATTTATAACTACCCATGAACCTCCAAGTAGATTAAGTTCAGGGATCAGTCCCGACCTTGACTCAGGAGCAGGAGTCGGTACAGGGGACGATGTTTGTGTGACCTTGATGCAAGTACAGAAGACCTAGGCCCTCCATCTACCCTCTATTAGACCCTAACTACCCTTAATTTGGGACCGTATACCCCTAATTGAGGGTACAAGGAGGGTCCTGGGATGTACGCTTTTTTCTAGTCCTTGGAGTTCGTTGGTGTGCCAACCAATCGACGATACTTACGGTGTTTCGATTTGTCTTGCATGCCCGGTCGTCTGCGTATGCACGATCCGGAAGTGTCAGCTTTCGCCGAGAATCGAAAGTGATGGCTCACGCGCATCTTTGGTTTTCAATGCAGAATAAAGTTTGGTGAATGACCTTCCCTGGCGCCACCGGGTATTGTACATATCCCCCTTGGCTATAAATGCGGAAAATTTCAGCTGTCAGGGTTAGCACGCTTTCACTGACACTTCCACCAGTTCTGTGTGGCCAGCCAGCAGTCCCTCTGCATCCGCTAAAGTGTGTATGAGCTTGCCATGTAGGCATGCCACGGATTATGTCACACATTGTGCAAAGCGGGGAGACGCATTAGACTGGAACCTGCTGGCCTCACGTGACACAGAGGACTTGAACCCCAACGCCTGACTGGAGAGCACCCCAGGAAAGATGTTGACTCATTGACATTGGGTCCTTCTGCAAGTCGTGTTTATGCCCTGTTGCGCTGCTGTCTGTCGAGGACCTATTGTAAAGATATTGTAAATGGCCACTTGCAGAGTGCAGGTTATTTGCATGTGAGTTGGCCGGCAGTGCAGGGTGGAGGCGTCATGAGGTTGGGGTCGGTGCGTGTTCTTGCTGCTTTCCTCGCTCGCATGGCCAAACTGCTTTCGGTTGCACTGTCGCATTTCGATGCTGTGATGTCATGTGTTGCAGGTATCGCGTCTGTCTTTAGCTATGGATTTGGAGTATGATCCGTCTAGAATGAACCTGAAACTATAGTCTGGAAGACTGAGGCATGCGAGTGAGGGCAAACAGTGGGTGGACGGTGGCTGGACAGATGTGGCAGTCTCTGACGACTGGTTCCTTGGCGTGCTATCTACCAATAGTGGTCGCGGCAGCTGCAGTTTGCTCATGTGCGAGTCGGAGCTCCGGGTTTTTTTGGAGCATGTGGCTTGATTCTTTGAGTGGCAGGTGGCTCGAACTGCACACAAACCCCAAAGGCTTCCGTACATACGATCCGTTTTCGTAGCTGAGGCTCGCTATCTCTGGCTTGGCCTTTGGCTTGCTGCTGCTTCTATGCTTCAGCGTTTTAAAGTGGATTTGGAAAGAGATCAACCACGACTGGAAGTTAAATTGTGATGTGGTGGCCTCAGCTGCTGGGATGATTCGTGGGACGATACTGTAGTGACCGATAATGCTGGCACAGGGGTGCCAGCCTTCACAGAGATCAGACTGCAAGATTTTAAGCGCTGACCCTCACTGGATTCCTGCGGCGGGATAGGGCTCAGTGCACAAATTGGCCCGTGATGCACTTGGAGCTTCAACTTCTTCATCGTCTTTGCAAGCAAGAGACCGTATGTACGAGCTAGAAGGGTACTTCAAGGATTCTCTTTGACTGCACTCACACGGATCATCACCAAAGCTTTAGTTCGGTTCACGCAAATTCCATGTCTAGATACCCGGCTCCACGAAAATCATGAACCAATGATCGGCGTGCACCTTCTGCGATGACAGCAACACGACAGCGAGCTTAGGGGTCCGGGTGCAATGAACCCAAGGGAAAAAGCCCAGTTCTCGGAAAGCTATAACGTTCGCAACATTGCACATTCATTCAGAGATCTTGTGGGTACCCCTTTTCGCCAATGGCCATTGTTTCCGCAAGTACTAAGAATGTGATATTGCAGCCTGGAGGAACTGGGAAAATCGCGCAAGATGCGCCAGCTGACGTGATGCGAAGAAAGAAGCAACCCCAACAAGCAGGCAGTACCAGGACCACTTCAGAGCCCATTGCCAGGATCGGAATCCGAGCAGACAAAGACCTTCAGAAGACCCCTGAGGTAGAGATTCTCAGGAGCGAAAGTCTGCAAAACTACATAGGTTAAGTAAGGTCAGAGGCAATGATCGAAGCAAACCGTCAGACGAGCTTTTTCAAAATGTTCGCCGAAGCAGCAAGTGCAAGACTGACAGCAAGGAGCAGGGGTGAGGCAGGACGTGGACTGAAACCAGAACGGCGAATAAGAGCATGTAGGGTTTAGGGTTTAGGGTGTAGCTGATGATCAGAGACCGGGTTCAAAAAAGGGTTTAGGGGTTTAGGGTTTAGGAACGAGTCAGCTGTCCTGGCGTGACGTTGCAAGCCAGTTGCAAAAAAGGGGTTTAGGGAGTCCGCGAGAGAGAGGAGTTTAGGGCCATGGTTCCGGGGCGAATGCTAGGAGTGTCAGATCCACCTAAACCCTAAACCCTAAACCCTAATCCCTAAACCCTAAGAAGAATGACAGACCTAAGCCTCCAGGCCTCCAGGCCCAGCCCAGAATGGCTGCACTGACTGGTGGGTGGTTGTCAAAATTATGGTCCCTTTTTGGGGTCCTTATTATAATACGGCACCTATTACTTAGGGTACCCCAAAAGGGACCATTATTTTGACAACTACGCTGGTGAAACTTGCATGACTCATCGGCTTTTTCGTTTTCAGTTCCCCTGTCAGAACTTGATGTCCGAGGTCTGGGTAGCCCAGCACGAGTACCTCTGGGAAAGAGCGAAGAGAAGCTTGGAAGCCACGAGCAAGCTTACCCGCCTTCCTTCTCGATCGTGCTGGTGATGCTTACTGCACAAGCACCGAGAATGCTGTCGCTACTGGTAGGGCCGAAGCATCCGAGAGGTGTGCTTGGAAGCAAGGATCGAAAATCTTCGCACTTGACTCGCATACGCTGACGCCAGCCGAGATGGAGGTGCCAGGGTGCCAGGGCAGGTGCAACGGCTGCCTGGTAACTGCCGAACAGGAAGCGCTTGCCAAGAAGACCCCGAAAGACAAGGATGACAGTGGCACGGTTGCACAATGTGTGCGTGCCGGCTTTGACATGTCTCATCAGCTGGAAGGTGATGATTTGGAGCTCTCTTTCCAGGACTCACGGCTGCAAGCAGGGGCATCAGGTAATGTGGCAGCAGTGTCCAAGATGTGGCAGCTAAGTCAGCTGCCTGCATGGCTGAGGACAGAGTAGTGATGTGCTCACCTTTCTTTGTCCTGGACAACTTCCTGGCAAACGCTTATTCTTGTGAAGAACAGGTGGGACATAGATCACCAACCCCCATGTGGCTTCAAATGGGGGTCGAGGCTCTGAAATATCTGAGCTTCGTTTGAAAGTCGCTTTTGCTTCCTACTGCGCCTGAACAGTATGTGACCTGTTGTGGGGCTATTTTTTCCAATGACAAACTGACGTAAAGGAGGCCAAGACTCGGCTTTGGATTCAAAATAACCGTTTCGTGTCCTCCCTTAGTGCCCACAAAAAGTACTTTCCCACAGGTTCCCGTCCGATCCCAAGTTGTTTTCACTGCATGCACAGTTCTGCTAGGTCACAGCTACTTACACCCTAGGATAGGCTCTCTATTTTAATTCAAGGTTGAGCTTGGGATGCATTCAGCTCTACACCACCCCGCCAGCACAAGGGGGGACTCTGATTGGCTTAGCTTTCTGCTGTGGTCTTTCGGCATGGTTCTCACCACCTCAATGCCATGCGCGTCTTTGATCCAGAGAAATCAGAGCCTTGAGTTTAGTCGTCGTTTTGGGTGGATGCCTACAATGCTGGGGAAGTTCTAATCTTGGTATCTCGAGATGTATCGAATATCGGGCTGAGGGAAGATCTCGCATGTTCTTCTCAGCAGGTTGGCATCTTTAGGGGTTCTGTTGAAGATGATTCTCACCCTCCCTTTCAACAGTTTTCTCACTTCGCCGACTCAAGACCATATGCCTCGCCTGGATGGTCTGAGCGTGAGCGCCGAAACCTTTTTGCGAGTGCCAGATCCTTCTCTCTGGCCCTTCATGACAATGTCAGTACGATCCGGTACGTCTATTGCAGCTGTCATTGCCGCAAGCTTCCACAAACGAGCACACAGTCTTCCTTTAAAGATAGAACAGTATATGCCAGTGCTGGCGGGGGGCACACTGACCGCACGGTAAGTTGTGTGTTGAATGCGCAGGTGGGTTTGTCAGTGGCATCGGCACTTCTACACGCAGTGGCCTTTTGTGCGGTATGCCTGCTGCCGTCCTACGCATGTTGCCTGATGCCAGAGCCCATGCCCGCAGGTAGCCATATTTTGGTATTGTTGTAAGCGGAGGGATACTAGTGCATCACACGACGTTGCAGCAATAGGTTGGCGTGCATGTTGCATGAGTGGTTTTGCTTCTGAGGCGTGGGGCCCAACATTTCATGTCATTGTCTCGGCCTATGCACTTTGCATCATCTTGCTGGGGCCCTTCTACTATCTCTCCTTTGGCAACATCACGGTTCGATTCGCATTGAGCGTGTTGCAGATCGCCTGTTTGGCTTTCTGGACAGTTTTGACTGTTGCGTGTCTGGACAGCACCAAGTTGCACCGACCGTCGATGCTGTGCGCCAATGAAAGAACAGACTGTTTGTCAGCTGGTGCTTTGCGCTCAGGTACCTTGTCAGTGCCATTATCTATCTGTCAGCCATATCTGCCGTAAACGAAGATTTGATTCCGAACGCGCTGAGCCCATTGGCGACAATCGTAGCCTATGTCGCTGTCATAACTGTGCGACTCAAAGAGTCTTGGCGGCAGATTCTACTCCTCAGCCACTTTGCGATCGATTCCGTACTGCAATGTTTCGATCGAATTTGGAAGCTGTTTGGCAAGTGCCGAGATAACTTCCAGCATCTTCGGGACTCGGTTTGACAGTTGCGTGGGAGACTGCTTTTACCGGTGCAGTGCAACGAGTCAAGAATTGCGGGCCGAGAAAGCACGAGGCCAGATGAGAATATGCGACTCTTAAATTTCGGACCGCTGAGCATCACTGCCAGTAAGGACCTCCAGCAACATTATATGGAAATCTTGAAGGGCAAGAAGTCCAAAGGTTTCATCATATCTCAGATCCAACGGCTGGGATTCTCCACCGGAGAGATTGTCATACTGGTACTTGCCGCTCGGTTTAGACTTTAGACAATGACGCCAGACCTCTTCTCTCTTCCTAATCTCGCTCGGTGCCTCTCCCTCCCTCCTTGTTGATTCAATGGAGGTGTGCAGGTGATGTGTGCAGGTGGCTTGCTCTTCTCAGGAAGGAGTGGCCGCCTTGCTCGGCCTTCTGATTTTGCAGCTGCGTGTTCGAAACGCATATGCTGGCCCGGGAATGCATGGCAATCTCCTCAGTTCCGCGATATTGCCGAGCTATGCCGTCGTTCATTCGGCGCCCTGGCACAACTCCGAACAGCTCGCTTGGTGATGGTAGACCTTTGGACCATACCTGAAGATCTAGTATGTGGGGCCCGATAATATTCACTAGTCACTAGTTGTAACGAATGGCTTCGTAGCACGACCCTTGAGGAGGCACGCCAGAGAGAGAACGCAGCCATGCTGCCAGATCTCGCCCTTGCATACTGGCACAGGTTGTCCAACTGCGCAAGAGCTCGAACAGCGATGCGGCAAGCAATGTTGACGAAGTTACAGGCGCTATCACCGTGCGGTCCTTGGTGTTGTGAGTGAAGAATCGTGGGTTGGGTGGAGGACTTGCATGATTCCGTGGCCACTGATACCTGCCAGCATGTCACAGTGCATCGGGCTGAGGACATTTTCTGAGAGTTCCCCGCCTCTGGCTACAAATGCGAGGGGGCCATACTACTTGTCTCCAGCTTTCGCAAAGCCACATGGATTGCCGAAGGCAACGCTTTGAGAAAACTGTCCAGCGCTATGATCTCGGTAAGGAGGCCATGAGCGAAAATATGATAAAAGGCGGAAAGAGCACATCTAGAAGATAAATCTTTTATCAGACTTGATCTCATGAGAAATTAAGAATTCTACTCGCACCATAATTATCAGAAAACTCGATATATTCTTACTTATTCTTATGATCACACGAAACCCGGGCATCGACATATATAATATTTATTGAGGAATGGCTATTCATATTATATAAGATTTATATTATATAAATTTAAATGAAGCGTTTTTCAAGAAGACAAAATAATTCAATATTTCAGAACTATAAGATTATAAGAAATGAGATGCTATTACAGATAAAAATAATATAATTCTCGTGGTTCTATATTATTCTTCGCAAAAATAGAATTATTATTTCTGTAGTAAAATATCGAAACTTGTAGTTTCGGGAATACTTCTTCTCCGATAATAAAAAGACTCGGAAATTGGGTATTCTTGTTCTATAATCGTTGTAGGGGGCCATGCCTCTGAAAATTTAATTTCTGAAATTTTGGGAAGGTATATTCGAGGATATATAATTTTGATTTATTTGGGATATTTTCGTGTTATAATGAAATTTTTGTATTGTGAATTCTGGCGTCGTATTTAAGAGGTCTGTCTCTTTGGATGGTTTGTCTTTATGCTACCGTGCCTCTAATATCTCTGATTTTATTTATATTCGATTAAAATTTTAATTGAATATCTATTTATTTCGTTTATATTTGATTATTATATCTTTTCTATCTATAATTAGGTCGGTTTATCTATTGGGGATTTGATTTCTCTTCTTCTATTTTTTAAATTTATATAGATTATAATGGATGCGGAAATTAGTGTTTAAATTCGAAGATATAAAATAGAATATATTGCAAATAATAAATAAATATATATATATATAAAGAAAGTAGGAGAGATAAAGATAATTAGAAAATAAGAAATTAAATATGAATATTATGACCGCCCCTGTAGGAAGAGCTTTGCGGCTAGGAGGTGCATATTTTCCCAATATGGGTTTTTTGCCTGTCTGCATATTTTTGCCATGCTTCTTTATCATGCCAATATTTTCTCAATATTGGCTTGAATATTTTACCAATCTTTGTGGGCTGCCCGAATATTTCCCCAATATTTCTTCGATATTTTACCGATATATCTTCATGGTTTAATTCGTGGCCTTTGGAGACTTCTCAACTACGCATCCTGCATACCTAGCAAAGTCGGTTGCTATGTTGCTGGCTTGGGCCCTCTTAAAGCCTTCGGACGGTATCTGTCCGCAGCTTTGGGGGACCCTTAGAGCGAGCGTCATGAGCAGGGGTGACGGCCAGGAGCTCGGGGCGCAGAGCAGAGAGAGATGGGGAAAATATGCAGATAGGCGGGAGTAGAGCAGAGAGAGATTGGGAAAATATGCAGACAGGCGGGGCCGAGCCCAGAGATATTGGGAAAATATGCAGAAAGACGGAAATAAAAATATTGGGAAAATATGCAAAAACCTCAGGGTTTTTGCATATTTTCCCAATATTTTCCCAATATTTGCCCCTGCATATTTTCCCAATATTTTTCCAATATTTGCACCTGCATATTTTCCTTGCCTCTATTCCGGGCTGGGCCTCCCTTCCCCTCCCCTCTCCCCTCCCCTCCCATCCCCTCCCTTCCCCTCCCTCCCCTCTCACCCCCGACACCCCTCCCCCCCCCCACTCACCATGATATTGTTTTCATATTACCGCAGGTACAACAAAGCACACGGACGTTGAGCCTAGTTACGGCACCTACAAAGCTCTGCACACATGTAGCATCGGCACCAGCGCTCCAACAAGAATCTTCAGAATACGTTGGCATCGGGCCCTCAACAACATATTGGGAAAATATTGGCCCTGTAATCGCCTCCCAAAAAAGATTGAGAAAATATGCAGAACCCAGATTGGAAAAATATTGATAAAATATGCAAACGACCTCTGAAATCCACCCCACTCTATCTGCCTAGTGCGCGATCATAATATGAATATAATAACTAAGAAAAAAAGAAATATATAATATCTAATAGAAATTTGAATTTTGGTGGTGGCGATATTATCGTCGCAAATTAGTTTTATTAGAAATTTCTTAAGAAATTATTTCTGAAATAATAGAAAAATTAAAAAATATTATTTGGAATATAAATTCCGAAATAATTATTTTAGAAATAATTTCTAAGAAATAATTTCTGAAAAAATAATTATCTAAGTAATATACTAATAGAATCATATATAGAAATTTCAGAATATATTAATACTAATATAAAGATTAATACTAATATTATCATTGTGTCTGGCACTAATAGTCACACAAACTTACTAAAATTAATATTAATACTTATATTAAATATAAATATTATATTAAAGACAGCACTATTGACTCTAAGAAGGGTAATAGTTCCTATCCGATATGGAGATTGGCACGATAAGAAGGGCGGGCGGCCCCTAAATAAAGAAGCTATAAAATATTGATATATATAAAGATGATTCGAATAACTTCATTTCAGACCTAGATTCCTAAATTTCCGGATTTCCAAGATTTCTATATCTCGCCCCTAACTTTCCGGATTTCGAAAATTTCCAAAAAACTCCAATATTTCCTGACCTCGTCGACAAGATTTTTCCAAACATAAGGATAGATTTTTTAGAAATTTTAAATATACATATATAAAATATCGATGATATCATATAGAGAAAGATATAGAAAAGAGATATAAATATTAAGAATATAGAATAATCGATCGAAGAGCATATCTTAATAATCTATCTTTATCAATTTAGAAATAAGCAAATAAATTATTTAAGATATGAATTATTATTAATTATTTATTGCAAAGAAATAAAAGAAATATTAAATGAAATATGAAATCATATTTAATATAGATATATATAGATATGTGGGTTTAGGGGTTTAGGGTTTAGGATTAAAGAAATAGAAATCGATTTTTTAAGATAAAGAAAAAATTATTAAATCTTTATATTTAAATAATTACGAATTCTTCTTATTCTTATCATTTTTATTTTAATTTTATAGAAATATCATTATATAAAAATATGAAGATCATTTATTATACTAATATAATATTATTTCATAATTTAGTCTAATATTCTAATTTTTTTTGATAATATTAAATAGCGAAATTATTAATGCAGCCGTGGTCGAATCGTGGGTTTTCGCGATAGCGTTAGTGTTAATATATATAGATTCAAAATATTCGAAAATTTAGAAGAAATTAATTTTCATATTATAATAAAATTTCATTATATGGAAAATTTATTTTTTATAATTTTGAATAAATCTATTTCGATATATTCCTATTCAATTTTCAATAGATATTATCTCCGCGTGCTCATGAATAAATAGAAAGAATAATTTTTCTTATATTATTCTTTCTATTTCTTTGCATATATATATTCCATCATTTCTAATATTTTACCTATTTATTCTCGAAATAAATTATCAAAAATATTCATATTCATATAATAAATTCAAAATCCATTCTTTAATTAATTCACATACAAAAATATCGATCCATTCTTCGAATTACTTATATAATTCATCAAACCAAAAAAAAATTCTAAATATCAGGGGGAATAACCCATAAATACCTGAATCCCTATGAATACAACGAGAAAATAAATTCCAAAAATCATCCCTTTAAATCAATTCCCAGATGACACCATAATTTAAGAATTTCTAGAAAAATTATATATATATCCTATCGAAATCGATAAGAAATATATTTCAATAACCAATAAATTCTAAATCGAATTTTCTGTGATAGACCTCAAATAAATACGACAACTAATAATCATTTTCAATTAGATATGTATATAATAATCCATCTATTATAAGTAGTGGATATTCAAGAATCCGAATATTATAACTTCTATACTGTAATCAATTTGAAAGAATAGGAGGATTTAAAATATTGAAGTCCACTCAGCCCGCTCAATAGAGTCTTCAATAGAGCATATCTCCCAAGGAATAAAAACAAATCACTGGAGATACAGAGAATCCGTATTTTGAGGACAAAAACCCGAGTCTGAAAGCAACTCTCGCGTGGAGCATGCTGGAAGTGCAGGCGCCGTCTGTCTCAAACTTTGAGACATTGTTGTTCTGAGGATTCGGGGCCAATTGCTGAATCGTGAACCTGTTCAAGAGTGATCACTTGTATCACACTAATGTCGCTAAAAAAATGGACAGCCAAGGACTCAATCGTAGTAGCGGCCCTAGCAGTGCAGCGAAAAACAAGGCAAACGATACATCGACCCTGAAGGGCCCCTCCACCTCCAGACACGATCCCGCAGACAGCCGCGCAGTGAGACATAAACACAAAGAGCGTCAGGGGATTAGGGTTCCTAGGGCTCTCTAGGACCTGCACGTATGTGAGTTGATGTATGACTTGTTTTTAACACTAGAAGTAGAATCTACCTCATGGCACAGATTGCCTCGGGTGGCGTCACCGAAGGCGCCCGAGGTTATCAAGCCAAACGCTCGCAAAGGATGGGCCGAGTAGGATCGGCCTTAAACGACACTTGCCATCAGCCTGCAGATACCTTGTGAAACACCGTGTAATGCAATGCATGCTGCTTGCTTCGCACTCGCGGCATGCAAAACATCACCCCTGGCTCTGGTGCTGTAAGAGATTGACAGTGGTAACTGCTTGAACGCATAGTGCAGAATGCAGCAAAAACTGGCAGCATACTGCATTTCAACCTATATGCTAAACGTGAAAAAACAGAAGCCGCATGCAAAATCTATGATCCAGTGTACCATCAAATAGTGGAAGCAAAACTACGCAATGGTAGCTGGGTAAGATGCAAAGATATGTACCTGTTCAAAGAGCATTTAACACGGAGCAACATACG